GCCAGGGTTCAACCGTTTATGGTGAGTCCCCCTATTTTTCAGTACGTTTATTTACAATTTGTATTTTTTTCTTTTCTTTCTTTGCATGTAGGTTTAATTTGTCAATTGCTTGCATGATTTGGTTTATTTAGTTTGTTCCGTGCTTTGCTCGTCTTGCTTTTTGTTCATTTGCTTTGCATGTTTTCTTTGGTTGGGTTGCAGTTTTTTTTTTTTTTTTTGTTTTGTTTTAATTAAATTCAATTCCTCTCAGTTGTTGTCTCCTGGCTGCAGAAATGTCACAATTGTCCTTCAAAATTAGGATTCTCCTTACAGAACCGGAACCGAAGCTCAGACCCATCCAGACATGATCAGTCGATCTGTTCTTGACTTTCTCCTGGATCCACCTGAAACCTTATTTTACTACACATATGTACGTGTCATGAATTGATTTCACACTTTATTTGTTATAAAGATGTAAAGAATATTTGAGAGATAACAGTCATAAATGTAAAATAAACTATGAAACACTTTATTAAATCAAGAGCACACAAGTAGGTATAAATAAAACATAGATCTTTGAAATGTGGTTCTGATACATGATGAGTGTTTGTCAGAAAATCTCACCATCAGAACAGATGAAGGGTTTTCATTCTTCCATCTGCCTTGACATGATGCATAATTCCAGGTTTTACATTTAAATTTTTATATAACAAACATCAGGTATTCAGAAGCTTTCACAATAATAAAGCAGAAATAAAATAGTGTCTCTGTAATATGATTCAAAAGTCTAACAGTATTTTTAGAGAAACAAATTCACTTACAGATTCAAAATTAGTCAGCTGGTGTCTGACTAACAAGTAATTTTTCCCAATCCTTAAACAAACACAGTGAAAATGTTTCCTTAATCAAAAAGAAACGCAGCAAGATTGACTTCAGTTAAAGAATATGAATATTATTTTAGAAATGTCTGAAATCAAATACAGAATCAGAACAAGTTCAGCAAAAGGGAGAAAACGTTTCATTTAGTAGAACAGATGAAATTAAACTTTTCTGTGCCATTTTTTTGGAACCACTTATGTTTTCCTCCCGTTTCCATGGCTCCATACATGTGACAGTCACTCGTCTGTCCAGCTGAGGTTTTGTTCTCATAACCAGTCGGTGGACAGACCCAGAACCACACACTGAGACGGCAGCTGAACCGCAGACCCAACCAGACATAATCAGTCGATGCCTCCTTGACTTTCTCCTGGATCTGTTTCTGTTCATCCATGTTGGTGATGGTGACCAGGTCATGGTGGTGACCTCTGCAGTAGGTCAAGGCGTCCTCCCAGTTCATCGCCTCTTTGATCAGGATCAATTTATCTGTCACAGAATTGATCAACACAAACATTACACAGTCATGGTAAAAAACTAATTTAACAAAAACAACAGTTATGTCTTTGGTCCTAAACCAGACGTGGTAGAGTAAATAAAAAATGTCCTCCAGTAGGAGCAGCACTACTTCAAATGAATTATTGTCAAGTAAAATGAAAAGAAGTTGCCTAAGAAATGACTCAAGAGTAAAGATTTGATAAAAAGGATACTTTAGTACTGAGTAACTGATCATAAAATCTGATTTATCATTTCAAGATGATGTCATGATACTAGCAAAAATATAAAGGTGTGTGCAAATTGTCATATTTTGAAGACAAAAATAATTAAAATAATCCAAATGTATAAAATAGATTAGAAACAACACATTTCTAAATCAATTTTCCTCAACATATAAACTAATACTTCAACAGTAGGAAATATATACACAATATGCTATAAATAGGTAAAGTACTTCCAGGGTTCACTGTATTTTAACTTGACGTCCAAATGGCTCAGCAGGTGGAGAATAACATGAGAACAATAGAGTTTGTGTTGGAACAGGAACTGCAGGTTTGTTTCTGGGTCCAGAGAGTTTTTAAAATATGTTTGGCCTTTATTCAATGAATATCAACAAATGTTACTCTATAGAGAATAATATTATTTTATAATAATATAGCTCAAGTAAAATTACAATATATTAGGGTTTAAAACTACTACTGAAGGTACTTTTAACCCAAAAAACTAATTAAAGTAAATGTGAATGTACTATGTGTCTCTGATACTGATCAAATGTTGAGGTTTTTGTTTGATGCAATGACATTATCTGTGACATGCAAGAATTAAAACTTACAACATGAATTAGAAAACCATTCACTGTAAACTTATATTTTAACTAAAAACTCACCATCATAACAGATGAAGGGTTTTTTTATTATCACTGTTCACATTCGTCCATCTGCCTTCACCATCAAACTTAGTCATGGCACATTGACCACTGTTGGGATTGTGATTGTTAAATATTGGATTCCAGTGTCTGAAAGAGAAACTGCTTCCATCTGACCACCTCCAGGTGTCTCTGAACAGACCAATGTATGTGGGATCATTAGACTTAATCAATTTCTTCACTTCTTCATCCTGTAGCTGCTTCGTTCCACTGATCAGGTCTGCGTGTTTCTCTCTGCAGTAACTCTGAGCTTCCTGCCAGGTCTTCATCTCTTTAATCAAGTGGTATTTATGGGTTGTATTAGTTTCTGTGAAGTAATCAAACACATTTATATTCATCTTGTTTGGACAAAAACATATAAAAATAATTCATAAATAGATTAATATTCTCACCATTATAGCAGAGGAAATGATTTGAACTTTGGCACTCAGTGTCTATCCATTTGAGATTTTTATCCACAATCACACAGTTCTGATATATTACTTGACTTCCTCCTCCATCATTTGGTTCTCCATCGTTCCAGTTTGTCTCACTTTCATTAAACTCCACTCCAGCTGAGATGTTGATGAGTCTCTTCATGTCCTTCATGTTAGTCACTGTGACCAGGTCAGTGTGTTTCTCTCTGCAGTACTGCTGAGCTTCAGTCCAGGTCTTATTCTCATTAATGTAGAGAAACTGATAGAGCTGACAGTCCATGAAACAACACTGAGCTGAAATATGACACGTTTTTTATTTAGTACTAAATAATGACTGCTAGCTTAAATCACTTTGTCTTTGCAAAAACAAAACAGGTGTTCTCATTTTAATTTCTGTGTGACAAGTCATCCAGATCTCCTCAGAGTCCAACTCTGGGTAATGTGACAGAAACCAGAGAGTCTAGTTGTGTTTCAGATCAACTTACCCATCAGGAAGAGCAGAATCAGACTCCACTGCATCTTTGCTGTCAGATGAATTATTTTCCTCCAGCAGTTTGTCTCTGTTGGATGAAGAACATTTAAACAGTGAAAAGCTGCAGCTCTCCCTCCACTGGACAGAGAAATAACATTAGATAATTTTTCACAAGTGATGTTAATAGAAAGGATGAACATCATTCATCTTTTTTGTTGAATCAGTAATAAATGTTGTGTTTCAGACACACGTGTCTGAAGAGAAGCTATTCGAATATTTCTCTTTTAAATATTCAAACCAGGAAGAATCCCATTTTTGCCATAAAAACAAATTATGAAATACCATAGGGCAGTGGTTCTCAAAGTATGTGGTGCGCCCCCTGGGGGGGTGCAGTGTCATTGCAGGGGGCCTCAATGAATGGAAAAAAAATAGATAAATACAAATCCTCTCAGGGATCTGTTCATGTTTTAACCCCATTTTTCACAGAGGCTTTTGTTATAGGTAGGGTACTGATGATAGCAAAGTTGAATATTGTTACAAATAAAAAAATAAATATATTTGAAATAACACTGACAGCAAAGAAAACTTCTACAGTATAGAACTGAGAAAAAGAAAACCAGTTACACAAAAGTGTTTCAAAGTGTTTTGTTGCAACCTAAAGAGTAAATTAAACTTCAGTGGAGTTTGAAAACAAAATATGAGTTTAGGTTTATGTCTGGTTGAACGATGTGTGCCCAGGTGATTCTTTTTTTTCTGTTTTGAGGGGGATTTTATTGTAATCCATAGGGGTCCCAGAAAGTCTTTGGGAACCACTGCTAGGAGAAGTTAAGATGATAAATAAATATACATCTACATTTTCACATAATAAGGATATCATTTTGGTATTCAATTAAAAATACATTTTAATGAAAAACAGTTTTTATTCTTGGCTTGTTTCCTGGTTGACTGGGGGAAGTTTACATTAGTAACATGTGAGGGTGGAGGCAGCAGTGGGGCTTTGAGTGGACAGGAGATTATGAAGGGTTATGACTAAACAGGAAGTGAACTTAGTGGAAAATGGTGGCAGAGGGAAGGAACACACCGACAGACGGACGATGATACAGCTTTTTTCAGATAAAATGTAAAAACTTTTATCTGAAGAAATTGTCCCTGAAGGGCACCTATCTAGATTTTATGTTGTTTGAGATTAATAAGAGCTTTAATTAATACAATTGTCTGTAAAGATACAAGATGTACTAGAAAAATTCAAATAAAACAAATTAGAAAATATTACATTTTATTCACTACAAAGTTAAAGTCCCAGTATAATGAAAATGTTCTGTAGTAATTCTATTAAAACCAGATAAAAGTCCATCAGACCATCAAACTACTGACCTACAGCACTGACCTCACACTTACATGCAGACGACAGCAGATTTGAGGCTGCATCGTTCTCTAATAAATGAGGTTTTAAATAACAT